AATCTCTAGACATCAGACATGGCCATATAAAAACAAGGTTTTTCATGATCATGGGATCCCTGCAATACGTAACAACTGTAACAAGACATGTTACACAGAATAGTAATGCAGGTCTAGCTTTACTGTCAAGAAAGCAGGGCGCAATGTTAACAGATATCCTCAGGGCGAAATTCAGCCAAAGTCGGTCAAGCGTCCACCAGCCCTGACGGACCATGTCTGGAGGTGCGGGTTTAAAATGTGGGAAAGGGAAGACACTTACGTGCCCTCTGCGGCATTTCGGTCTTACATCACCCTGTCTGGGTAAAAAAAGCGAGACATGCCGGCCAGCCGTCTAGGGTGACCATCATAGAGGAGCAGATCTGATTCAAGCTGACAGGCCCGAAGAGAAAACGATCATGGGATCCCTGCAATACGTAACAACTGTAACAAGACATGTTACACAGAATAGTAATGCAGGTCTAGCTTTACATAAAACTGTGTCAAGAAAGCGGGGCGCAATGTTAACAGATATCCTCAGGGCGAAATTCAGCCAAAGTCGGTCAAGCGTCCACCAGCCCTGACGGACCATGTCTGGAGGTGCGGGTTTAAAATGTGGGAAAGGGAAGACACTTACGTGCCCTCTGCGGCATTTCGGTCTTACATCACCCTGTCTGGGTAAAAAAAGCGAGACATGCCGGCCAGCCGTCTAGGGTGACCATCATAGAGGAGCAGATCTGATTCAAGCTGACAGGCCCGAAGAGAAAAGCCGCGCTACAGTGATCAGCAGGAAAATGACACCCAATTCAATATGACAGAACGCCGCCTGTTTTTGTACAACAGTCGCCGCTGCTCGCTCATGTACGCTGCACGAGCAGGCCAAATATAATAGCAGTTAGCCATTACGCAGCACTGATGGAGCTGAATGTTTAAGAGCTACTGTGCTTTTGATCAGAGTGACCATTTACTCTTTGGCAGGTCTGAATGAGTCTAAGCTGAGAATCAACACAGAAATCAAAGCCTTTGGGAAGGTGGTTCCATGCCTGACCATAAAAATCTCTTTTTCCCCAATATCTTTGTCTCGGCTAAACCCCAGCTAAAGCTCTTTGTGTCACATTCCATTAAAAACTACAAAGTTGCGCAACTTATGAGGGAACCGTGTTGGACAGAAACTCCACATCTACTCGCAGGCAGGCAGTGATTTTCAGCGTTTCTCGCCAGGACTGACATGGTAAACTGTGTTGTGTGCCATTAAATTCACTCTTATGCCACTATGCCCAAATGTTTCATTAAGGAATTCGCTCAATCGCTGACGTCTTGGTTTGGCAGTGTAAACTAATGCAAGACGTGATACAAAAAAGGGCTGGTGATCAACAGATTGTGTATGTTTAAACCAGTGATTTGGTGCACTAGGTGTTCATTAAAGGAATTAGATGAGCCGAAAATGAAAATTCTGTCATTATTTACTCACCCTCATGTCCTTCCAAATTTGTAAGCTATTTTTTTGTGTGGAACACATGAGAATCTTCTGCTCTGGAAGAATCTTTGCTGAATCTGCACGCAGCTTTTCCAGGAACTACAACGGTCATCAGGGTTATCATCATTAAATAAAATTGTAATAGTTTTAGTATTATTTTTGTTGAATGAAATGAGCTGAAATAAAATAAAATATAAATAGACGCAAAACTTTAAATGAAAACTGGAAAATTAACTGAATTATGTTTAACTTGAAGCACTAAAATGTGACAAATAATGCTGACTCAGACTGCAAGTACGTTTTCATATTTAAAGGATTTGCCACTGATGATTCAAACACGGGTTTTGAGCAGTGTAGAGTAGCGCTTGTTGTTTCTCAGATCACAAATGCAGACATGTTTTATGATTTCGTGGCGCGAAGCAATGCATAGAAAGACAGTATAAGTCATTATAATCAGTAATTATGTTCCCACTGGATGCTACAAATGCCTCGTTTATAATGAGTTTTATTGGTCGTCTTGTCGCATCGGGACACAGCATCACTGTATGGTAAGGGGCGTAACATTTCCGTCACACGCTTGAGGTATTCAGCCAATCAGATAGCTGGCCAATCAGAGCACACCTCGCTTTTCAGACCGATGAGCTTTGTAAAAATCGACGCGTTTCAGAAAGGCGGGGCATAGAGGAGAAACAATAATATACAGTATGTGGAAAATAATGTGTTTTTTTAACCTTACACTGCATAAACACATTTCATTACACCAAATACACAACATAATGTTCTTTTTTAGGACCGTCATATGACCCCATTAATAAAAGTAAGCAAATGATACTAAAATAACTGGCTGTCATCAAGCTCAAAAATGGACAATAAAACATCATAAAAGCACCATGCAAGTAGTTCAAAAGACTGTAGAAATAAATCAAAATAGAGGCCCTTTTTTTTTTTTTTTTTTTATAAATGCAACTAGTAATGAGATTTTAAGAGATGATATGGTCCATTAGTTTTGGGTGCTTCTTTATGCTGCCTTAAAGAGATAGTTCCCATAAATGAGAATTTGTTCATCGGTTACTCGTCATTCCAAACCTATATGCATTTCTTTCTTATGCGGAACACAAAAGATGATATTTTGAAGAGTGTTGGGTATCAAAATTCCAACTGCATGACTTAAACTGCATATCTTCTTTTATGTTCCACAGAAGAAATATAAGTATACAGGTTTAGATTTGGAATGACAATGAGTTAAATAAATGACATAAATTGTAATTTTTTTTTTGAGCGAACATCCCCTCTAACTGTGTTTAAAGGGGTCATATGTTGCTAAAAAGAACATTATTTTGTGCATTTGGTGTAATAAAATGTGTTTATGCGGTTTAATGTTCAAAAAACACATTATTTTCCACATTCATATTGTTTCTCCTCTATGCCCTGTCTTTCTGAAAAGCGTCGATTTTTTACAAAGCTCATCAGTCTGAAAAGCAAGGTGTGCTCTGATTGGCCAGCAATCCAATGAGTTGTGATTGGCCGAATACCTCAAGCGTATGACGGAAATGTTACGCCCCTTACCATACTGTGATGCCCTGTCCGGCCGGAGCGACGAGACAAAAACATTAAAACCCATTATAAACGAGGCATTTGTTGCATGCAGTGGGGACATAATTACGGATTATAATGACTTGTACTGTCTTTTTACGCATTGCGTTACATGGCGTAAAACCATGTCTGCATTTGTGATCGGAGAAATGACAAACAAGCTCTACTCTACACTGCTCAAAACTCGCGTTTCAATCATAAGTGGCAAATTCTTTAAATATAAAAATTTACTTACAGTCTGTGAGTCAGAACAGCCGGCATTGTAGTCTACTCTCCCAGGATCAGGAAACAGTCCTCCATAAAATGCGCTGGACACATCTGTATATATGGGTTAAACTGTTCTGGAACAGTGTTGTAAATGCAACTTAACCACTGATTTCTAGTTGTGTCCTCTTTTGGAAGGCCAAACTAAATCATTCCACACTGAGGCGACAGCATTCAAACCACTGATTCTAATATCCATATTACTCTGCTATTTTCCATATAATAAAAATAAATGATGATTGGTGCTTTTGTAATGCTCCAAAATGACAAAAAGTATCAAATGATATAGCTGCATGATTTGGGAAAAAATCTAATGGTGATTGTGAAAGCTCCTGGTCAATATTACTATAATAATAATTATTATTATTATTTTTGCTGTTACCAAATAAAAATTTCTATAGTAATATTTCACTGTATAAAAAAAATACAAATTAAAAAAAAAATGTTTAAAAGAGTATTTAAGAAAAACAATAATTGTACAGTAAAACTGTAAAATTACAATATATTTAATTCGTAATTTCTGCATTTTAAGTTAGCAATTTTTTTGGTGGAAAACACCAGCAAGACCTTAAAGCTTCTCTTTGTTGACAACAGATTTTAAAAAGTGCTTCTCATTACAAGTTTGGAAAAATGGTTGGCACATAAGACACATTCCAAAATGCTATAATGTTATAAGCGACCCAAACTCAGTGCAGATGCAGAGAAGCATTTACTCATAAAAACACAGTTCATAAGTTGCCCGCGTTAAAAAGAAGGCAGTGCTGCGCTTCACTCTGAAACATGCAGTGCATAGATCATTTTGATTAATCGTGTAGCCCTAATATATGACTGACTTGCTTTCCTGGAACAAAAATTAGAAGTTTTGAGTAGAACGTTTCTTCCACACAATAAACGTGAATGGGGACAATGGGCTGTCAAGTCCCATAAAGGACAAAAAACCTCAACAAAAGAAGCATAATAGCGGTTCAAATGAATCTTGCAGTATATTCCAGTCTTCTGAAGTCACACACGAATGCATTATGCGAGTAATGGACCAAATTTAAGTCATTATTCACTAAAATGTTGCTTGACAGTCATGGTCACCATTCGCTTTCATTGAATGGAAAATAGCAGCTTGCACAGTGTTATACATATCTCCTTTTGCATTCCACACAAAAACAAAGTCACAGAGGTTTGGAAAAACAAGGGTGAATTCATAATAGGGCTGTGCAAAAAATCAAATGCGATTTTCACGCGCATCTCCTCATTAAAGCTGTAGTTCACTGACAAGCTACACAAATTCGCAGGCGAGTCATTGCAGACTTTGAACGCGATTTTGTGTAGCTTGTCAGTGAACTACGGCTCAGTGTAGTAAATGCCGCTTCATCTGAAAGCACGTGCTGGAGATTTACTACTAATCACAGAACCGGCTTTACTGACGAGATGTGCATGAAAAATCGCATTCGATTTTTTTGCACAGCCCAAATACATAATGACAAAATATTCATTTTTGTGTTTACTAATCCTTTAAGGAGTTAATTTACCACCATCCTACAAGTATCCAGAGACACAGCAGACAACATAAGGCCTCGGGGACATTAAGACAATCCTCTAAATAACACTGCTTGTGACAAACATCCAATTTTCCAGTAAGGGGACAACCTTTGTACGGATCGCCAGTCATACTTGTCATCTGTCCAGCCGCATTTACCTCCTACAGTTACGCCCCGTCTCCTGTTAGAGCTTTTCCTTGCTAAGTATCATGTAAGAGCGGCTAGAGCCAAATTCTCCCTCTCTTTCCTCTTCAGCCACAGATGCGGCAAACGGTGCAATCTGCCAATCTCCATGAGTCATCCAGCACTGTTAATTATGTACCCTAAGGAGTAGAATTGATTAGCGAGGGTCTCAAACTGATTTAACTTGTTATTTGAGACTATATAAAGCGTGGGCCTAAACATTGCCATTTTGTCACATTCACTAAGCACTGTCGTTACTCAGAATACTACTTTGCCAAGTCACACAGACTGGATCTGTGGACAGAGAAACACAGATAGGATAAATGATGCTGTATGCATTTCAATGGAAAAAGGTGTTTTATAATTATTCAATCATAGACGAGTCACCATGGGTTGAGTAGAGTGTAGAATGAGAGGTGCAAACTTTACGGCAAACCATTAATGGAAGCATTGATAAAACATATAGTGCTGTTCAAAAGTTTGGGGTCAATGAAAGTCTGTAAAAACAGTAATATTGTAAAATATTACAATTTACTGTTTCCTTTTGAATATATCTTATAATGTAATTTATTCCTGTGACAGAAAAGCAGAATTTTCAGCATCATTATTCCAGTCTTCAATGTCGCATGATTCTTCAGAAATCATTCTAATATGCTGATTAAGAAATATTTCTTATTATCATCAATGCTGAAAACAGTTGTGCTGCTTAATTTGTTTGTGGAAACCATGATACAGAATTCTTAGATTTTGCAATACAAAAATATTCTTAAGCTGTCATTTTTAGAACCATTATTTTTTTTTGCATTTCTATATGCTTTTGCTTTTCTATACGTTTTTATCATCATGCATTTGGACATTTTTTGTAGGCCTAAACCTAATTATCATTATTCTCAATGGTGATTTTCATGAAATTATCGTCAGTGTAATAGAATGATTTGATTTCATTCAGCAAATATTTAAAAAAATTCAAGGGTTTTTTTTTTAAGCAGTAATGAGAATGTATGAAATATTTCTTTACCATGAGATTTGAGGGGGAAAATGGTATTTTGCATCAAACTTATGTCACATAGCAGAAAATCTTTGTGGACTTTAAAAAGTTTCATTTTCTTTAAACATTATAATATTTATCATTTCTTTTGTTTATTTGCTGGGGTGAAATAAGACCCTTGACATGAAAAAAAATAAGTAAAAACAGCAAAAATATTCCAAACGTGTTAAAGTGCAATATTGTGCACAACTGCACATTCTTTTATTGTGTTTGTTCGCAGAAGTCAAAAAGTGCACAACTGGGGTCGTGCCAGACTGGATTAACTCTCTGCATACATATATATATATGACACGCTGTAGGCCTTGTTTACCACTTTAAAACATTATTTTAATGACAGAATGTTCAAATCTTTTTAAAATTACAAAAACGTACTTTTTTTAAATTACCATGCCTTAATTATAAGCTAAAACATAATAGCTTATTAAAAAGCTATCTTTATGATTCTTCATAACCTGCGGGTATGAAGAAAACGCATGAACTCTGAAAATGAAACGTGACACACAACTACTCCGAGAGTTACGGTTTAACACACACACACACACACACACACACACACACACACACACACACACACAGTTTTGATTGTTTCATCTGATCGCCCACAAGTTTCTTTATCTTATTGAAGTGATCAGTGCATTTCAGTTTAAAATCACTGGAGAACGCATGCGAGTCGTCGCTCACCTCTCCGCAGCTCCGCCGCGATCGGATGCAACGCTCCGGACTTTATTCCCGTTGGAGAGCGCGCCAACCACGGATCCACTCGCCGACGGATTCCGCCATACTGGATTGTGGCGAGCGGATCACGTGTCGAGTCCCCGGCGCATGTCCTCCAGAGGCGGGCGCTCACAGTCAGTCGAGCTCGCTGGCTTCATGTTCTCACATCGATTCCTACAGTATATATATATATATAATATTTTTTATTGTTATTTTTAGGCCCTATTCTGCACCCTGTTGCACCCGTTACCCATTCGGGTGATTTTATATTTTGACTACTCAATGTTTGATTAATACCATATATATATTTCATATTTTTCAGGTCCTTTTTTGGTGTTTTTATATGTTTTTGAATACTTAATACCTTTTAAGAAAAACACCATATATATTTAATTTTTTTAATTGATATTTTAGGCCCTATTTTGCACCCTGTTGCATCTGTTACCCATTCAGGTGTTTTTATTTAATGTTTGATTATTTAATACCATATAATATATGTTTCACATTTTGATTATTATTTCCAGGTCATATTTTGTACCAACTTCATGTAAAACGCCAACTACTATAAATAGTACTAGATATTTCTGGAGATGAGCCTTAATAAAATATGCAGTTTGTGTAATTCCCGTGGCTGTAACGTTTGTGTTCAGAGCGAGTTGTTTGGCAGAATGAGCTGCTGCAGTTTTCGCGTGTGTGTCCTGTGTTTAGCAACAGAATTACAAGCCATTACACCTGGCCTGGTGACAATAATTATCACTTCCAAGCAAATGTAACTAACCTAATTACTGTCTACAGAGTTGTCAAGCTTCAAAAGCTGAACATGAAAACAAAAACAAGAGGGCAAATTAGCTCAATTAGATGCCAAGAGGAAAAAGCACTGTGCTGTTGTTATGATACGAGTTATTTTTCACTTCTTTATTACTTTCTTCTTTCCATCTTTTCTCTTGGAGTTTTCTCTGCTCTTCATCGAAAGAACTTTAATCACACTCGACCGCAGAAGAAAACATTCTGCAGCAAACTGATAAAAACAGAATCCTTCTGCTGATAAAGCCGGCCAGACACTTCTGTGATGACAATCAGCTGTGCACTTTTCTGTTGATGGAGGGAAAACACACACCAAGTCTTGCAAAGGTTTTCGATCCACTAAAGTCATCCGCTGGATCTGCGTCTCTCCATCAACGGCACTTTTAACTGTTCAAGATGCTTTGAGGTATAGCTAATGTAACGAATCAGCTCATGGGAAATATATAACTATTATGATTAATTATGAATATTTTAGATCCGCTGTAGATATTTAGCTGACCTCTCAGGGTCAACTGTCTTGTCAATTCTAAGAACGTTAATTTCCTGGTTAAGGGAAATAACTTTCTTACTGTACCATTCTACAAAAGCTTGTAGCGTAAGTCTGCATGATTAGTGACTCCGGTTATGAGCAAACAATGAACACGTCAAGTGTGATACAAGTAAGGTTTTATTAACTACATAAACACTTAAACTAGTCTAACATACTACATAAACACATAAACTGGTCTAACATCCTACATGCACACATAAGCTGGTCTAACATACACATACACACACACATTGCAGTCACTCAAGAGTCTAGTGGTGCCATCGGAATGGAGCTTCATTTCTGTGGCATTAATACAAAACAAAACATTTCAAAGGCCATTGTGAGAACAAAGCATTTCTTGTGCAGTTTAAAGGAATAGTTGAGCCAAAAAAGGAACATTGTCATCATTTACTCACCATGTTGTTCTGGCCCCATCATTTCTTCTATTAAATGCTACAGCAGAATGTCCGAACAGTTATTTTCCATACAACAACAAATCATTGTGACCACGACCTTCAAATTCCAAAATGTCAAAAAGCAACACCAAAGTACTCTGAAAAAACTCAATACAACTTGTGCACTATATTCCAAGTCTTTTGCAACCAACAATTAACCAATCAATAAATCAATAAATCAATCAACATTTATTTATATAGCACATTTAAAACAACACCAGTTGACCAGAGTGCTTTACATGTATAAACATATACACATAACACAACACAATCTACAATTGTAAAAATAAATTATTTCAAAAGTTCAGGATCAGTACAGTTTTTTCACCAAGGCTGAAATTATTTGATCAAAAATTATGATTAATACAAAGTAAAATAAGTGTCTTTGATTTTAATATCTTTTAACATGTAACTTATTCCTGTGATGGCAAAGCTGAATTTTCAGTATCATTATTCAGTGTCACATGATCTTTCAGAAATCATTCTAATATGCTGATTTGCTGTTCAAGAAAACAGTTATACTGCTTGATATTTTTGTGGATTCTTTTTTTTTT